ACCTGGCCAACTGACTGGAAGAGATCCATATTTGTACCCATTCCAAAGAAAGGTGATCCCACAGAATGTGAAAATTATCAAACAATATCATTGATATCACACGTAAGTAAATCTTACTGAAGATAATTCAAAAATGGTTGCACCAGTATATTGACAGGAAACTTCTAGAAATGCAAGCTGGATTCAGAAGGGGATATGGGGCGACAGATATCATAGCTGATGTCATATGGGTCTTGGCTCAAAGCAAAGAATACCAGAAAGATGTTTGTTGTTGTTGTTGTTGTTATGTGCTGTCGAGTCGGCCCGACTCATAGTGACCCCCTCCTTGGGTTTCCGAGGCAGTATCACTACGGAAGTAGGATTGCCCAACCTTCCTTCCAAGGACTGGCTGGTGGATTTGAACCGCCAGCCTTCTGGTTAGCTTGTGTTTTATAGACTATGCAAAGACAGTTATGTGGATCATAACAAACTGTGGATAAAATTGAGAAGAATGGAAATTCCAGAACACTTAATTGTACTCATGAGAAACCTGTACATAGACCAGGAGGCTGTCGTTCATATAGAACAAGAGGATACTGCATGGTTTAAAATCAGGAAAGGAGTGCATCAGGGTTGCATTCTTTCACCATACTTATTTAATCTGTGTGCTGAGCAAATAATCCGAGAAGCTGGAACTATACGAAGAAAAACGTGACCTGAGGATTGGAGGAAGGCTCATTAACAACCTGAGATCCACAGACAACACAGCTTTGCTTGCTGAAAGTGAAGATGACTTGGAGCACTTACTGATGAAGATTAAAGACTACATACAGTTTGCATGTGGATTACACCTCAACATAAAACAAAAATCCTCACAACTGGACCAATAAGCAGCATCATGATGAATGGAGAAAAGATTTAAGTTGTCAAAGACTTCATGTCACTTGGTTGTACAATCAACGCCAGTGAAAGCAGCAATCAAGACTTCAAAAGATGTATCACATTGGGCAAATCTGTTGCAAAAGATCTCTTTCGAGTGCTGAAGACTAAGATGTGCCTAACCCAAGCCATGGTATTTTCAGTCACCTGATATGCATGTGAGAGCTGAACAATGAATAAGGAAGACTGAAGAAGAGTTGATGCTTTTGAGTTGTGGTGTTGGCAAAGAATGCTGAAGGTACTGTGGGCTGCTAAAAGAGCTAACAAATCTGCCCTGGACAAAGTGCATCCAGAATGCTCTTTGGAAATGAGAATGGCCAGACTTCATCTCACCTACTTTGGTCATGTTGTCAGAAGGGACCATTCTCTAGAGAAGGAAGTCATGCTTGGTAAAGTGGAGGGTCAACGAAAGAGGGGAAGGCTTTCAACAAGATAGATTGACATGGTGGCTGCAGTGATGGGCTCAGGTATAGTAGGGATCGTGGGGCTGGCACCGTACCAGGCAGTGTTTTGTTCTGTTGTACATAGAGTCACTGTGAATTGGAGATGAAGGTACATAACAAGAAGAAGCCTTTCTTTGGATGGTTATACATCAGTTTCCATTTTCAGTACTCCTTTCATATTTAACCACTTGGCCCATGGTATTCTACTGTAAGCAAGAATTCCCCTTCCTGCCCTATTTATTAATCTTTATTATCAGTATAGGAGCTCTGGTGGCATAGTGCCTAAGGCACTTGACTGCTAACCAGGTTAGTGGTTCAAATCCACCAGCCACTCCATGGAAGGAAGACTGGGCAATCTACTTCCATAAAGATTTACCACCTTGGAAACCTAAAGGGGGTTGCTATGAGTTGGAATCAACTCGATGCAGTGAGTTTGATTTTTATTTTTATTTGTTATCAGTGTGGACTCATGTGTTACTTTCCTCCCCAGTGATTTCTGTACATTTCTGTTCTTAGTTATTTTAAGGAGCTCCCATTTTCCCAGATTTGGTTAGTGGGAGCCACATTCAAGCTAGCTCCTTATCTTTATTACATGCCTTTAAATTAATTAATTTTTTAAGCACTTGCTTTCTGGCATAACATAAGTTACTGTTTAGAATTTTCCTTGCATTAAAGGTGGTAACTTAGAATTAGGTAGCTAATTTGTTCATGATACCATAGTTAATACAGAGATTGGCATAGTTATTCATGACTCTTAACTCTGAAATATTTGCTAAACAAAACAAAATATTTATTAAATCAGAAACTTTGGGTATTTTATATATAGAATTGCTTATTTTGAAATTCAGATTGTTTTTTCAAAGGGACGCAATTGTCCAGACTTGGTTCTGTGACACTAAGTGATATACTGGGTTGATCATAAGCAGTTTAATGTGAACAATTTGGGAACTTAAAATGATTACTTACGTATATTAGAATGTTAGGCATATGTAGTTCTTTAAATTGTTAAAAGTACTTATGTATAATTCTTGGAAGGAAAACTAGGCAATCTACTTCTGTATAGATACTGCCTCGGAAACCCAAAGAGGGGTCCCTATGAGTCGGGACCAACTCGATAGCAGAGAGTAGTAGTATGTATAATTAAACCAGAGTTATATGTCCATCATAATGATTATACATTATAAATGACAGGTATTATTTAAAAAAAAAAAACTCAGTGCTGTCGAGGTGTTAACAGTTATTTCTATTACTTTTAAACAATTAGGCAAGATCAAAAGAATTAATGTTTCTTTTTTAAAAAATACTATCTGAAGTCTGTAGGAAACTTGCACTCACTTGGTGAGTAAAATTGTTTTATTTATTGGTTTCTTTTCACTGATCTGTTGTATGTAATTTTAAATAGTAAGATATGTATTAGAAAACTGCATTTATAAATTTTTTAATGCTTTTAATTTTACTGGTTTTTATGAAAAATAACATGTACTTTTTGAAAATTTGTAGTTGGCAGAAATGGATCTGGAAAAAGTAACTTTTTTTATGGTATGTATTTTTTTCTTTTAATTTCTAAATATGTTAAGATCTAAGTTTCTTAAGGTAATTTACTAAAATCATTTGTTTTCTGAGGTCGTATCTGCCTGAAACCCAAGAAATACTTGTTTACACATGAGTACAGGTTAGTGTAGAAAGTTTAGAGTCTAAAGATCTGAAGTCTATAGCCACTGACTTACTAGCTATGTGAGACTGGTAAAACACTTAACCTCTGATTATTTTCTTCACTGTGAAAATGGAAATTTTGCCATGTCTACCTTAGGCGGATTATGAGAATCAAATGAGATAATACATATGAAAATGCTTTTAAAACTTGAATGTAGTCTGTAAATATTATGTTTTATGTATTTCTAGCAATTCAGTTTGTTCTCAGCGATGAGTTTAGTCATCTCCGTCCGGAACAGCGATTGGCTTTGTTGCATGTAAGTAAGACTTCTTTAAGATGTTGTTATGATATATGTCAGAAAATACATCATCAATCCCAGTGGACAAAATAATTTATTCAAGTGAACATGTCACAGCCAAACTCTTAAGTGTGTGTTCTGGTGTAAAATTTAGCCTATAATAGGTCCCTGAAGAAGGATAGCATTAATTTGGTCCCTGGAGAAGGATATCATGCTTGGTAAAGTAGATGTTTAGCAGAAAAGGGGAAGACCCTCAACAAGTTGGATTGACACAATGGCTACAATGATGTGTTGAAGTGTGGCAACAATTGTGAAGATAGCTCAGGACCAGGCAGTGTTTTGCTTTGTTGTACATAGGGCCACTATGAATCAGAACTGACTCGATGGCTCCTAACAGCAACACATTAATGCAAGAGTCTCTGTTTTCTGCTGTAATATTAGGCTACTATATTAATGTAAAGGAGCCCTGGTGGTGCAATGGTTAAGTAGTTGGCTGCTAACCAAAATGTGCATGGTTCGAACCCACCAACCACTCCATGGAAGAAAAGACTTGGTGATTTGCTCCTGTAAAGAGTTCAGCCTAAGAAATGCTATAGGGTAGTTCTACTCTGTCCTGTATGATTGGTATGAGTTAGAATTGACTTGATATCACACAACAACATCAACATAATAATTTAGGAATTCCTGGCTGGTGCAAATGGTTAATGTGCTCAGCTGTTAACCAGAAAGTTAGAAGTTCAAGTCTACCCTGAGGGTCCTTAGAAGAAAGGGATAGCGATCTGCTTCCCCCAAAATTAACCATTGGAAACCCTATGGTACATAGTTTTACTCTTAGACACATGGTGTGTCCGTAAGTAGGATTGACTTAGTGGCAGTTGGTTTGGTTATATTAACGCAAGGTAAAGGCTTAATTTTTATATAATTGATAGAAGAAAATTGTAGGATTTACCTGTGGGTGGATATGTCTTAAATGTTAATGTAAATTAGTTAATTTTCTAATCTTTGTTAAAGATGTTGTCTTGTAAATTTCTAGAAGCTGGTTTGCTGAAGAGAAAAGGGTTTGGGATTGGGTATTAGGAACTTTGAGATATGCAACCAGAAGTTATGTGGAGGCATAGAGAAGCCAACATTGCAAACTAAATAACATACAAGTTGTCTGTTATTCTTAGCCTATTTATACTTAGACAGTAACATCATTTTCCAATGTGAAAGACAGAATATAGTAATGAAAATTATTAGAATTTTCATTAGGTAATTAAAAATAATGAGCTAGAGTTACTTTTGTTGTGTTGTTGTTATGTGCCATCGAGTCAGACCTGACTCATAGCAACCCCTCCTTGGGTTTCAGAGGCAGTATCACTACGGAAGTAGATTGCCCCATCTTCCTTCTGAAGAGTTACTTTAGGATAAAAAATATAAAAGGCTATATAACATGTAATAAAATGATATCATTTATCTTCTTTCTGGTTTGCATATAGTTTGTAATTAATTTTAAGACCAGAAAAAGAAATTCCTCATTGTATCTTGGCAACAGTGTCTCTTGCACTTAGGAAGTTCTTTTTGTTCTAACCATAATTTTTTTTTCCCCTTCAATTTGAATTCATAGGCTAGTAATTGGGACCAATTCCCTGTAGAAAAATCTTTTTTAAGTTTCTCAGATTGGTATTATAAGAATTAATAACTTCTTTAAATATAACTGTCCATTGTTTTGAATGACCACATAATAATAAGTTTCTTGAATCTTGGTTTGTAGTGTTTGAGTTATAGATTCATCTAAATGTGACAAAGGTTGGATGTGTGCTTAGCAGAACTAAAACTATATAAAACGTCCCAAATGGTTTTTTTTTTTTTTTTTTTTAAAAAAGAGTTCCAATAATTATGACATGATTTTGTAGGGTTTCTTTACACTATTAAGGGAGCTCTGGTGGTGTAGTGCCTAAGGCATTTGACTGCTAACCAGAAGGCTGGAAGTTCAAACCAGCTCCTCAGAAGTTCAGCCACTCCTCAGAAGGAAGGTTGGGTGATCTTCCTCCATAGAGATACTGCCTCGGAAACCCACGGCGGGGTTGCTATGACAAGGGCAGTGAGGTTGGTTTTTGTTTGGTTTTATAAGAGCCTCAAGATGTTTTAGATACTAGCAAATAAGAAGAGTTAGGCTTTGTGTTATAATAAAGTGGTCTGCAGAGCAAGACCTAAGTACTTCTGACTTTGACATCTTCTGTATTTTGTTTCTGAATAGAAACAAATAGCTGTTTAGGTGAGAACATTGTGTTACCACAATCCAGTATCTTTGCGGTTTTGGCAAGAGAGCTGTGTACTAGTTTGATAGAATTTTTTCCTCCATGGAATCAGGCTCATTACTGTGCATAAATTTTAAAAGTGTTCAAAGAATATGAAAATACCACTTAAATGGAAATTTTCTGTTTTTGTTTTCTAGGAGGGTACTGGTCCTCGAGTTATTTCTGCTTTTGTGGAAATTATTTTTGACAATTCAGACAACCGTTTACCAGTGAGTTACTGTTTTTTCTTTTTAATAATGTTCAGAATTTTATTAATGCAGTTGATTTTTTTTCATGCTTAAAAACATTTGTTTATAGTTGTACTTTTATATTTGAGCTTATATTAAAATAACTATGCAGTTTACATACTGATTTTGTCTTAAAATGAACGTTTTGAAAAATAACAAATGGGAACATGCAAGCTGTTGTGAAAAAATGTCTGTCATGAGAATTGCGTGTTCATAGCATATCCTTTGTCAGATAACTGAGATTTTAAAATAAGAAAAGTTATGGTCAGGGAACTTTAAGATGACCTTATAACTAAAAAGTTTCCTACTTTCACTATTAAATTAACCCTACTTTAAAATATCTTATTAGATCGATAAAGAGGAAGTTTCACTTCGAAGAGTTATTGGTGCCAAAAAGGATCAGTATTTCTTAGACAAGAAAATGGTCACGTAAGCATTTTTTTCAGATTACTGTTTGTTTGTGTGTTTGTTTTTACAAAGGGGTAAAAGTATTCTTTTACTTGCCTCATGCTCAACAAGTCAGTATTTATAGCATAAATGGAAGAATAGTAAGATTTTCTAAGACTGACATGACAGATGGTTTAGTGACTGTTCTGTACTTTCCAATGAAAAGGAACTAGACTTCATCTTTTACTTGTTGCTGGATGCTTTAAAATTATTTAACAAACCATTTCAATGTTTCTCAACAGGAAAAATGATGTGATGAACCTCCTTGAAAGTGCTGGTTTTTCTCGAAGCAATCCTTATTATATTGTTAAACAAGGAAAGGTAATAAAAAATTCTGTGTCCTTTTTTTAATAGAATGATTTTTCTGAGTATATTCTTCACATGAATGATGAATTTGGTTATTACAGTGGTTAAATTGAAGCAAAAGTTGACTTTATTTTCTATTTTTTCAGTTGACTTATATTAATGCAAGCATTATCTTTTATGTGTCTGTTAAGTACCAAATAAAGATCCATTACATAATAAGATAGAGGTATTTCAACAGTTATTTAACTGGATTTTGTTTTCTTAATGACTTGTAGTATTCACTCTATCCTATAAGACATTTTTGGTTTGTGGAAGTTACAATAATCATATTTAAGAATGTTATAGAAATTCTATAAAAACCACATTTGAAAAAACACTTTCTAGAATTAAGTATTACTTACTTTATCACAGAATTAAAATACTGAAAAGTTTGTATTACTAGAAATCTATAATAATGCTACATACTGTTTTTCTTTATAGATTGTATTCTTTAAAGTTTATAAGCAGCTAAACTATAAACTTAAGCTAATTATTTTACTGACCCCTTGTATACTTTAAACTATCTCTAAGACACTTTTTT